CACATGACTCATGCCAACAACGTCTGCCTCATGTGTCTCAATCAGAAAGAAGACAAGGATTCTGGTTTTGATATCGACAATCTGTGTTTTTGCACTCTGGACCTGTTTGGTGCTGGAACCGAAACCACCACCACCACTTTACACTGGGGGCTGCTGTACATGATCTTGAACCCACAAATACAAGGTTGGATTGAGTGATGCATCTTTAAGTCTGTCACACATTTTTCCATTGCTTCACTCAACTAACATTATACAGTATGCATTCCCTCTCATAGACTCAGATTGTTCTGTTTTGCTCTGCATGCAGAGCGAGTCCAGGCTGAGATAGACGCTGTGATTGGTCCGTCCAGGCAGCCGTCTATGGCTGACAGAGACAACATGCCTTACACCAACGCTGTCATCCATGAGATACAGAGGATGGGGAACATCATCCCACTCAATGTGGCCCGCACAGCTAATCAGGACTCCACAGTGGATAACTACACCATCCCAAAGGTCTGACCAGATTTCATCTAGATGCTTCCCCTATTTCTATACCCCAAACTTTAGTTAGAAGTCTTAGATTTTTGCCTTGGAATCACAAATAATGTGAGGAGAGAGAGTAAGTTTTCAGACTGCAATGCTTTAGCAGAGCTTTGTGAACTAATTTTAGTCACAAGAAGATTAACAACGTAATGTGCACAGCCGATAATACAGCTTTACAAGATGTGCACCCTATAATGATTAGAGATTTTCTTGTTCATATAAACTGGTTTGCAGCTGGTGGAGCTGACACAAGATCACTGATAGTACAACAACAGCAGATTTTGGGAATTAGTCAGCAACTATTTTTGCTTAAAAATGCTATGATGAGAAAATCATTGGCACTACAGATTGGAACTGGTATTCCTATTCATATCTCCTCAGCATAATCCCACTCCAAACACAAACTACTGCTTTAAACCTCTAGAGATGATAGCACAGTCTGTGTAATTGTTGTTTTTACAATCAATTTGTATGGAAATATTTGCCTTGATTATCAATATTACCCTCATCAGTAGATTACGCATGACAACTGTGAATCAACAGAGCAGCGATCAAAAATGAAGCATTCAGTCAATTTGAAAGTAGTGATTTTGACTTATTTCTTTTTTTTAAGATTTGTAATAATGTGGCTTTCTATCAGTCAGCAGTAAAACAAAGTATTTGGTCTTATCTGACTAACGCTACACTGATTTTTCAGGGCACCATGATTCTTGCTATACTGGACTCAGTTTTACACGATGAGTCCATGTGGGAAACTCCGTACACCTTCAATCCTCAGCACTTTCTGGAAAAGGACGGCAAATTCAGGAAGCGAGAAGCATTTCTCCCCTTCTCTGCAGGTTGGATGTTTAAGTTTGTTGAACTAATTTTATGGACAGCTCTTAAAATAAGACCTTTATGTATGAGAGTACTTAAAAGACCTCAACCAAAAACTTAGTGAGAAACCTTTCAATTAAAAGTAGACCCATGAATTAAACATGGAACTCATGCATTACGTATGTTTAGAATAGCAACATTGAAGAATTAATTATATAAAAATTGTTTATTCTTCATGAAAACCCACAGTTTAGTTTCCCATACTGTTATCTAGACCCAAAATAAAAAACAAAAACAAAAAAACAATTAATGGTCCTGAGTAATACTCTTATTTTCTGAATAATTTTGGGTTTTTGTTCGCTATAAGCCATCACTAGTTTACTTGTTGAAACAAGTAAAATTAATTAAATTATTGGTGATATTATTTATTGAGCTCCACATCTATTTATACAATATTTTTAACTTGTCCTTTGGGACCTTGAATCTCTATATGAGGTCAATGGTGAAATTTAAGTATCACAAAGTTTTCTTCTCCTATAGGGAGACTCTTATCTCAGAAGGTAAACCTTGCTTCACAAAATCAGCTGTAAACTTCATGTCTTCTCCTCTAGTTTTCTGTTTCCCATGATTAGAAAACCTATCAGCCAACATAATGAATTTGATCCATTTATCTTGTGAGGAAGCTTGTTATGAATTGGCTCTATTTAAATTGATATGTAAACTGATTTGCTATCTGGTGTCTCAGTGAAATATTACATCACACTTTCAATAATCGCTGACCCTTGAATTAGTTTGCCATTTAGGTAAATTTCAAGGCGATCACGGTCTCTGTGCCATCATATCTGATTAAAAACGTTATAATTCTGCGTTCTCAGGTAAACGTGTGTGCCTTGGGGAGCAGCTGGCCAGGATGGAGCTGTTCCTCTTCTTCACCTCCCTCCTCCAGAGGTTTAAATTCTCACCTCCTGCAGGAGAGAAGCCCAGTCTGGAGTACAAACTGGGAGTAACCCATTGCCCCAAACCTTACCGCCTCTGCGCAGTGCCACGTTAACCTGCTGCCTGATGACAAAAATTTACTCCGCTGATATTTCTCCTTTATAAATGTAATTATTATATTAAGAAGATGAACCACTATGATGCAATAAATATGAAATAATCATGCAAAATTGGCTGAGTTTGATATTTGGCTGATTGCTGCACTTCTAACATCATCATCATCATCATCATCACATTTCAGCAACAAGGCAGTTCAAAGTGCTTTAAGTTTTAAGTGCTTTACAAAAACAAAAAAATACAAAGTCATCATCCATTGAAAACATGCACTTGTTTTAACAACCGCTGGTTCTGCATTACTCACTCCCTCCACAAGATGGCAGAATAATTTGGACAAAGATAAACTCGTCGAGATCACTCACCACAATCAACGAGCAAGATTACAACAAATCTTGTTTAAATTTTCGGTCATATTAAACCAGAAATATTCTGATGTTTCAAAGTATTCTGATCAGACTGGATGTTTTATCGGGTCTCATAACAAATTCACACCAAAAGTTTCACCAGAACTTTTATAGACTGCCTTAATGTATGTATAAAATTAAGTTTCAGCAGCTCAGTCTGAACTCCAAAAGACCTTTACTCACAGAAACTTCCACAGTTCAGTCAACAAACAGCATATTGGAACGATTTAGGTTGTAATTCCTTTTAAAAACAAGAGACATTGTCAGATGAATCTTTGTGGAACAATGACAACGTTTGGAAATATTCACAAAGTTGTTATTTTAAATTGCAGACGGATGGATCAATCAAAGCATCTATGATAAAACATGAGTCCCAGTCGTTTGTAAATGACTGACTGAAAATGCAGCTCACTTAGGTTTTCATTCCTAGACTGATCAGTGGGGGACTGGTGACATTAAAAGGTCACACAACTACATCCTTACAGAAGGAGGCAGAAAGGCATTACTCATACACCACAGCTTGGATGCCAGTAGTGCACTAAAAAAATGATTCATTGGATGAACTCAGTTCAATTTTGGGCAAGTTTCCCATTCAATGAATTAGTTTCTATAAGTCAAGTTTGTTCAATAAAGCATTAAACATTATTTATTGAATCTAAAGTATTTAAGTTTGACCAACTCAATTCTACATTTAGCAAATTCTTTAATTTTATTTAAGTTTCCGTGTAACTTAAATCCACTGACTTAATGCGCTTCACTATTTCCATTCCAAAATCAAATATTTGTGAGATTCTTTTCAGACTGGATGACAACACTCTTTGGCTTTTCTTGCACTTCAGCTGCTGCTCAAAACTATGGAAGTCAATTTTATTACCGCAGTTTTTGAGCAGTTGCACGATATGAATGAGAATCCAGATGTACTGCTGCACAAAAGTTGGGCTTATTCACAAAAGCATAAAGAGAAAGCTTTAGTTTCGTTTTGTCTCTTTTTTTTCCCTCCAGCAGACTGAAACTGTTGATATTTTGTACAGACAGGTGCTACCTGTCTGGTCTACCACCAGATTTATATCACTCTGCACGTGCAGAACATAGTAAACCACTCATCTGCTGTGCAATTTCAAGCATTACCCCGACTTTCAAAAGCATTTTACGATATTAAAACTGGAAAATAAATGTTGACATTTGCCATTTTTGCATTGCAAACTGAACCAATTTATATATAATTCACATTAAAAATGAAATCACAATGCTTGGTTTCATTTTCAAACACATCCTGCCTCATTTTAGATGATATTATAATAAAAAAAACGTTTGTTGAGTTATTTTTGGACATTTTTTTCACATTTTTTGTCAGTATTTTTAAGAGTTGCAGGCAAATGAAATGCAATCTGTTAAGAACTTCAAGCAAGGTATTTTACTCCACAAAGAAGATTCTTGACTTGACGCGCTCTCAGGACAACACAGGAAAAAGTATGTTGACCTGACCCTGATTAGATCTGCAGAAAAGGATGTGGCAAACTCTTTCTTGCACCAGAATTACCACACAGCGTGAGAACAGTACACGAGTTAATTGCTGTCGTTACCTCGAAATGTCTGTTTCAAATGGTGGAACATAAACTAAAAACAAACGTTCACTTAGCAGTCTTCAATCTTCAATAGACCTGAAGAAACCAGCTGTTTAAAGTGTGTAACTGCTCTGTCCCAATTTAAACGCTGCTGAATGAAAATAGTTTCTGATACGGTTGCAAGTCTTTAAAGGTGACTTAGAATGAAAAACAGATTGCATCACTCCACAAATCTCAAACTGATTTTATTCACGTCAGAGCAAAACTAAGAAATTGTTCCTGGTTTGCAACATAAATAGAAGCATCTCAAAACAGATCGGGTGGGGTTTGGTTGTGTCTTGCTAAAATATGCACCTAAAAATACACCATGTCAATGGGATTAATTAAAATCACATGTGCACAATTCATTGTACTCTGCACAGATTCAAGACAACCTGGGCCAGATGCAGCACAACATGACCGAGCCTCCTCCATGTTTCACTGTAGGGTCAGCGTTCTTTCTTTGCTGCATTTTTGGTTCTGAACTGTTTTGTAAGCGGTGCGTTAAAGCTCCAGTTTTGTCTCGTCTGCCTAAAGGACGTTCTCATAGAAACTTTGGGGCAAATTCCAGTCTCGCTTTTTCATCCTTCAATTTCAACTGTGGTGTCCTCCGTAGCTCAAACAAGGATGGCTGGTGAGATGTAGCACTGATGCACCTTGACCTTTGAGCTCACTTTTAACTTCTTTAGAGGTTGTTCTGGGCTCTTTGCTTGTCATTCATATTGTTCTTATGAATTTGTCATCTGCTTTCTTCCTGAAGCTGTGACAGGGAGGTTGGCTAACGTCCGGTGGACCTTAAACTTCTGAATATTGTTAAAACTGTATTTATAGGGGCATCAAGATGGTTTCACAGCCTTTACCTTTAACGTACTTGTCTCTTATTTTCTTTCTGAACTCTTGGCTCAAACTTTCTCCTTCCCTTCCTGTGGTCCATGTTGTGTGTGGCACACACCATATCAACAAACAGCACAGCAACTACTTATCACCTTTTAAATAGGAAGACTGACTGACTACAACCTTGAAGACACATGTACTGCTAATTTAAAATGTCCCTATTGTCAATGTATTTATTTTTTATCTTCTCTAGAGGGGCCATCATTTTCACACAAACCTGTTTCATTATTTTGTGTCTTTGAGTTATTCTGTTGAGCCACAATTCAAAGTGATGCTCAAGTTATTTCAGTGGGTACCAACAGTTTTGTTGACATGAGTCGTCCCCTTAATAACTTCATTATTTAATTCAGATGTGTCGAAGCAGAGACACATAGAAAAATGACAAGAACTGGACTGAGACAGCTGCGTTAAACCATTTGTCATGTGTTTTATGAGCCAGTAAAATATGGTTGTTTTATAGTCCGCAGTGCATCACCTTTAGAAAAAAAATCTCCTTAGTTTTTAAAACTGTCATGATGTAGTGTCAGTTTCCTATGAAACAGATAACCTATGATAAAATGGAGCTCCTGCTGCTTTTTCTCTCTGCTTTCACCAGCAGAAACAGACGGCTCTGGGTCAGAAAGGGAGAGTTTTTGAAATGGAAAGCATCTTCCATCCTGTCTTACCATACCATACCAACTTTATTTATAAAGCACTTTAAAACAACCACAGTTGATACAAAGTGCTGTACAATTTAAGAACACAACATAATAAAAGTAATTAAAAACAGTTTAAGAACAAAAACATACAATTTAAAACTAAATCCCACTGGTGTTGAAAGCTAAGTAAAATAGATGGGTTTTAAGACAAGCTTTAAAAGTGGACAGAGAAGGGGCCTCTCTGACCTGCAAAGGTAAGTCATTCCATAATTTGGGGCCCATAACAGAGAAAGCCCTGTCCCCTCTGAGCTTCCTTTTTGTTCTCGGTTCCTCCAAGAGCAGCAGCTGATTTGCTGACCTGAGAGACCGATGGGGTACGTAAGGATGAAGAAGCTCAGTGAGGTAAGCTGGGGCAAGATTATGCAATGATTTAAAAACAAACATAAGAATTTTAAAATGAATCCTAAAATATACAGGCAGCCAGTGAAGTGAGGCCAGGACAGGGGTCACATGCTCTCTCTTTCGAGTACCTGTCAAAAGTCGTGCCGCAGCATTTTGTACTAGCTGCAGACGTGAGAGCAGCGCCTGACTGACTCCCAGATAAAGTGCATTACAGTAGTCCAATCGAGTTGAAATAAAAGCGTGGATCACTGTTTCAAAATGCTGCCTGGAAAGAAAAGATTTCACTGACGCCAATCGCCTTAAATGATAAAAGCTGGACTTAACCACGGCTCTAATTTGGCTGTCCAATTTGTGTGTCTTGGAGATACACCGTGCAGATTTGGCATGAAAGATGAAAGAATCAGATTTAGGGGGGAAAAACCTGATGATGGCAACATTAAGAGCAGAAGCACACTAATCATTGAGATATTAGACTGCAATGTGTCATTTGCTTTTGGGAAATCTGTTGTTTTGTTCCCTTCAAAACATAAAGGGGAATTCAATCAGTTTTTGACAATGTAGAGAAGTTATGGACCTCAAAAAGACTGAGTGAATATATATATACACCTTTTATGTATTAAAAATCTGTTTTATTGTCATATCAAATATCAAAAACAAATCTATGTGAAAATTAATTACCTTTGTCATGGAGCCTAAACTGCTTATTACATCCACCCTTCTACACTTTGTTCATCCTTGCAGGGTTTCAGATGGGCTGGTGCCAAACGTCAGCCAATCCATGAAAAACAGATATTTTGAAGACATATTTATTCTCAGAATCACAATGTTAGGACTTGAACGGGTCATTTATAGACTCCCACTTTTATTTATTTTTTTAAACAAATAAGTGACAAAACAAGGCAAAATGACCACGAAATCAAGTTGTTTTCAAAAGAAATTCTGAGCAGAAGTGAGAATGAACATTTAGATTAGTAGGAAGGCAAACATCTTAACCATGAGGCAGGAGAAGAGCGCTTCCAGTTGGTTCAGATCCTCTTTACTTTCCCTGAACCAACTTGACTTTCTGTTTCAAGTCCAGTCAGATGTGGCTTTTCTCTCTCTCTTAACTGGAAATGCCACCAACTGTTGGGCTCACAGCTGCTTTCTGCCTCTGCAGAGAAGTGACTCTGAA